CTGGAAGAGGCACCAGGCAGAGAGCCTTGATCTCTCTCCAGCTCCAACATGCCCTGGCACTTGCATCCAGACTTGCCTACTGGAGCTGGCTCAGCTCTGCCACCGTCACCTCCTTTCCCACTCTAGAGGGCTAGAATGGGGCATACCAGGTCTATGAGTCTCAGAAGCTACTACCCCCAGCAGCTCTTCTATTTCCTAAGAACATCTCCCTCACTCTTCTAAGGGAGTTGGAACTGAAGCACACAGGACAGTGGAACCAGAGAGGACAGAGAACTCCCGTCCTAGCTCTCAGGGTGAGTCTACAGTGGCCCACTGGGGCAAAGGTGGAGCCTGTGGGGCCAGTACCCAGGGACCTGTCCCCCCGGGGCAAAGAGCTCCCCTGCCTCTCAATGTATCTCTTCTGAGTAGGGGCCTCCTCTCTCTGCCCTAGTCAGGAGCCCTCATTGTACCATTACAAACGCAGCGTTGTCTTCTCTCGGGTGATCTTACTTCTCTTAGAGTGGCCGTACCCTCACATCTAACTCATCCATCTCTCCTATGAACCCTGGAACCCAAAGGACCTGGCGAGGGGAGGGATGCATTGGGGCCCGGATCTATTCCCTCCCTTAGAGCGCTAGAGAAAGAGGCTTCCGGGACCTATTCTTCAGCTTCTCCACTTCTGCCTCAGTTTCCCGGCCCGTTTCCGCAAACGCCAGTACAGGTTATGGTGAAGCAGTTAGCAGCCTGCCTTCCAGCAAGAGGTCGGTCGAGAAGGGGAACTACCCTGACCTTCCCCTCCTGCTCCGGCCCCCCGCCCCACCCAGCGCCCAGTCGGTCCTCCAGATTCTGAGTCCCCAAACCTGGGACCTACCTGCCACTGCTTCTCTGTGCTAGCCTGAGGTCCTCCTTGTCTCTCTTCGGGGGACCAAGAATCTGAAAGGCAGACTCCAAGAGGGAGCGGCCGGCTAGTGCGCTGTCTAGTCCGGAGCCCTGTTCCCCTCACCAACTTGCTGTGTCCCCCGGACCGCGGGGCTCTGGCCAAGCCGACATCACCGCATGGCAGGCGAGCTCTGGGCACCGCGGAGGTCCGGGTCCGGACCCGCGGGTTCTGCAGAGCTCAACCAGGTTCCTTGCGAGGCTCCCGCCGTCAGGCCGAAGAGCGCGCAGCCGCCGCCGCCTCCTCCTTCTTCTCGCCCGGGGCCGCCCCCGCTGCTCCAGCCCCGCGCGGTCGCCGCCGCCCCCTTCGGGACAGCGCGCGGCCCTTGGCGAAGCGGGCCAGGCAGCACAGCCAGGACGCAGCGGCCCCTGGTGGCCGAGAGCAAGAGGAGGGCATCCGGCCCCTGCAGGTTTCGTCCTGACGCACGCTGTCTGGTGCAGGGTGAGGCGACGCCCGAAGAGGTCCCTCAGAACCCTCCAGGTCGGTGGTCCCTGGTCTCCTGGTTCAGGGGAGTTAAGAGGTGCTAGGAGGAGAGTGAGGGAAGACGGTTGGGCTAGGAGTGAAGAGCGAATGCTCAGACCCTCAGGGGTTTTGAGCTTTGACTAGTCTAGAATAGCACTAAGAGCATGTCCACATGTGGTTAGTTATTTAAATTAAATCTAAATTAATTAAATACAACTTAAAACACAGTTTCTCATTAGGACTCGCCATATTTTCAGTGCTCAATAGTCACATAAAGCTAGAGACCGCCAAGGTGGACAGAACAGGTGCAGAACAGTCCCATCATTGCTGCAAGTTCTATTCCACAAGGCACTTGGGGCCTATGGAGGAGGAGAGTAGTTAAAGATCTGTCTCCCAGGAGCTGTGCCCTTAGGGCTAGGAAAACCCCAGGCCATGTGAAGAAGGGCTGAGGAGGGGTCAGGCAGGAGACCTCAAGGGCTGGTCTTTATGGATGGTGGTGGGTGTGAAGATCAATTTGGGAACCAAACTGAGAATTTTAGCATGAAGATGATTACAATCTTCATCAGGAAACTGTAATTACAATTATATAATTCTTCATAGGGGTATATTTTGGATGTGAAAGATGAGACAAATGTGGGGGCAGAGATGTTCTGTGAATTTGTCTTACTGGAAAGGACACTTCTCTTTGTTTTGGGGTTGGGGGCTTTTGGGTTGCGGTAATGTGAGAGTAGAGGTGAGGGAGTTCAGGAAGCCTAGTTTGGGCCCTGAGCCATGACATGTGACCTGGGATAAAGGGCTGTCCAATCTCTCTCCCTGCAAACATTCTCCAAATCTGCTTCTTCCCACCCTGCCCCCCCTTTCTCTCTCACCTCTGCTGCCTCATTATGTCTCAGCAGTCTGAGAATGGAGAGGTGTGATGGTGGAGGCTCAGGGTGTGGCTCTCCCTGTGGGAGAGCCCAGGGAAGCCATTGACCTGGGGAGGGGTCTCTGGGCCCTGACCCTGTGGCTTCCTTGCAGGCATCCTATGGTGGGTGCAGAGAAGAGCAAGGAATACAGGGAGCTGGGTGACACCAGGAAACAGCAAGTAAACTGTCCCAGAAACACTGAATAATAAGAATAACTGGGAGTTACATCCCCCTTCCCCTTGTTTTTGGCTGGATGCTGCCATTAAGCCATTTATCTAAGAGCTGGTTCCAATTTTTCTCAAACAGAAGAAAATACCCACAGAAGTAGTGTGTTCTTTGATTTTTTTTCTTTTGTGATTTCTTTTTCTCTGGCTCTCTCTGCTCAAAACTCAGGCTTAATTATAGCAAACTACAAACCTGAATAACCATTGAGAGATATTTTTTCCAAGTTTACTTGACAGAGAGAGATAAAGAGAAGTAGCCCCGACACGTTCTCACGTTGTAATCTCCCCACCAGCCTTGCCGGCCAGCCGGGATCATGGGTGAGCATACCCAGCATGAACAAGTGAACTGACTGGAGAACCTGAACCTGAGATGTCCTCTATGGATCCAACTTCACTGGAGCAGCGTGTCCCCACTGTGCCACCAACCCCGCCCTCACTGTTGGAATTTTTTTTTTTTTTGGAAGCTTGATAGGCGAGTCCTTCTTGGGGGGAACTGTTTAACTGGATATGGTCAGGAAGCACTGGGTGGACAGAGGCCCAAAGTGGAGTCCTAACAGTAAACTGGGTACCAGTGGTCCCTGATTGCGACTCTCAGCTTACATTATGGCCAGGAGGACCCTGTCCCCACTTGAACTGTGTGTGGTTGAGTGGTGTCTTTGGAGGCCTAGTGATCAACACTCAGATACTAGGTTTAGGGACCCAGTGCTTCCAGTATCATGTCACTATCATCCTCCTATAGAGGGGTGAGGGCAGAAAGAACAGGTTGCCTACCACGGACTGAACCCAGTTCTAATCTTCCAGGGAGCAAATTTCTCCTTCTAGTGCTTAGCCTGGCCTCTGTCTCCCCCTGGCGTCAGCCAGAGAACTTGCTCAGCATCCCTGACTGCCCTCTGCCCTGAGAGGAAAAAAGGGTGGGAGGAGAGGAACCCCCCACTCTTCATCTCCTCTAACCCTTCCTTCCTGACACGGAGCAATCAGCTTGGTTAACACAGAACCAGGTGTGGGCGCCAGGAAGTTGCCATGGGTATGAATCTTTCACTGGCTGTGCGACTTCCTGGGGAACGTCACGTAAAAGGACAGAAACCTCCAGTCCTGCCTCATCCCTAAAAATGTATATAAATAGACCCCATCTTGAAGGATTGGTGTGGGGTATAAATGACCTAATGCGTGGAATGTATTTTGTAGAGCCGAGTGCACAGTAAGCCTTCAACACCTGGTAATTATGTTGTTACCCTTACAAACTAGCCCTTTGTGGTCAGAGGACGTCTAAATGTGGGAGGAAACTAGGTTTTGAGAAAGTGGGACGAGAGCGGCAACAGCTCTCTCAGATCTAGAGGTGGTCTTCAGGGGGCACAGCGCCGTCAGCAGCTCCCAGATCCTGGGCCAAGACTGCGGCCGCGTCACTGCCACCCCACCCCCTCCCTGCACTGGCTCGCTGGCTCTCACTCTCACTTCAGCAGCTCGAGCCAAAGGTGTTGTCACAGCAGGTGCTTCACACCCAGAGGCCCCGAAGCGGCTGTTTAGCTCTGAGGTCATCAGCTGCACAGCCCTCCGGGCAGGCTGGCCACACCGATCCGAGAGCGAGGAGGCCGCCGGCTTCCTGCCCGACCCCGTCACAATGGGGAAGTTCTAGCTGATGTCTAATCTAGAGCACTTGTAAAATAAGGTTTCCTTCTTCGTCCCTTTCAACAGCAGACCCTAATTTCCTCTAAGAAACTAAGGTGGGGAGAAGGGAATGGAGCGGGGAGGAGACCTGGAATCGGTGGGGGCGGTCCCCGGGGTGGCCCGGTGCCAGAGGAAGTTCGGAGCGGCGGGGCGGGCGGGGAGCCAACAGCCAGGACGGGCTCTCCGGAGCAAGCACCGCCCACCCAAGCCCTGGGGGCGGGGCCCTCGGGGGCGGGGCCAGGGCCGAGGGCGGGGCAGGGAGGCAGCATGCTTAACCGGGTGCGCTCCGCCGTGGCGCACCTGGTGAGTTCTGGGGGCGCTCCTCCTTCGAGCCCCAAATCTCCGGACCAGCCCACCGCGACCTCGGCTCAGCCAGTCGTCACTTCGGAAGCATCCAAGAGCCCTCCGGCGAAGGCTGGGAGCGGGAGCGGGAGCGCAGGCGGGAGCGGGGCGCCCACGAAGACTGGAGAGGCTCGAGCTAGCTTCTCCAGACCGACCTTTCTGCAGCTGAGCCCTGGGGGGCTGCGACGCGCAGATGACCACGCGGGCCGGGCTGTGCAAAGCCCGCCGGATACGGGCCGCCGCCTGCCCTGGAGCACGGGCTACGCCGAGTGAGCGCCCCCGGGGGCACCCAAACCAAGATGAGGTTCCCATCCCCTCCCGAGCTCAGCATCCCTGTCGCTGGGTTGCGCCCCCAATCTGCGCTTGATACCAGGAACCTTCCTTTCCCAGGATACTTGCTATCTTCTGGGCTTCGGGCCGCACCCTCTCCCTGCCCATCTCCAGGCGGGTACAAACTGAATTACCTTCTTCAGGATCTTCCAGCTCATTGACTACTCTCATCCATACCGCCGCACGACCCCCTGCCCTTCCAGAGCCCCGGAGGGCGGAGGGCCCTGCGAAGGATGAGTTAGCCAGTTCTCAGTCCCAGCCCGGCAGTTTAAAGGCGAAGGGTGGAGGGGTTTCAAAAATGTGCGGGGTTCCTTTGAATAGGCGATAGCGGTTGGGAAGGCTCGCTCACCAGCTTCCCGGCCCCAGCGCCCCAGTTCTCTGTCCCTCTTAGCGTTCCCCTCCCCCTCCACACCCAGAAATAGCCCGCGACACCTGGAGGCAGCCGACTTCCCAGAGGCGGGGGAAGGGGGCCTCCCGGGGCAGCGGAGGGTCCCTTTTGGACGCCCTTTGGTCGGTGGACTAGCGAGGGCGTGGGAAGACAACGGACCCCCTGGCTGTGACGGCGCCGGAGCGGCCGGGTTGCTCTCAGGCTGTTTGTATTTTTAATGCTTATTTATGCCGGGAAAGCAGAGTAGGGAGACCACGGAGTCCAGCTTGCCCAGGAAGGTGGCTGGTGGACTGCGGAGTCGCTCTTTTTCCACCTCCTGTAGCTTTCTGTGTGAGGGGATTTTACGGTTGTGAGGCGAGTGCTGAGTCCAGGTGGACTTCCACTCCTACTCAATTTCAATTCCTCTTTCTGGATCTGGGCTAGAGCACTTCCTCATTTCAAAGCAGCAGAAAGTTTTGCTGGATGGTTTTAGGTTAAGGGTGGGTGTACCCAAGAGGATAGGAAGCTGAGGACCAGGCACTGGGAGAGTTAAAGGTAGGGTAGAGGATCTTGACCAACTCGGAAGTAAAACTCTCTGCCCCCCTCTAGCCCCACCCATACAGGACCACTAAGGATCCTCCTCCCTTTCCCAGGGATGGGGGAACTGTGGCAGGGGTGCTGCTGGCACCTTTCTATGAGGTGGAGGGGCCTGCTGCCCAGACTGTACTCCTTGCTGGCCCTCCCTTCTCCTCTTCCCTCTGGCCTGGATCCCAGGCGACTATGACCTTTTTCCACTTGGCCAGCAGGCAGGAGAGGGTGTGTGTGTCTAAGGTGGGGGTTATTCCAGGACCTGGTCTGGTGTCCAGCCTGATGTGGTCACTGTCCTGGCAGGGTCATCAATGCTGGCAAGAGCCGGCACAATGAGGACCAGGCTTGTTGTGAAGTGGTGTACGTGGAAGGTCGGAGGAGTGTTTCCGGGGTGCCTATGGAGCCTAGCCGAGGCCAGGTAAGCCCCTGCTGCCTTTTCTAACCTCCAGGGATATCGTGACACATCTCCCTACAGAGTCCAGGCTTGTGATTTTAAATGTGAGCCATGGGAGACCTGCCCCCTAACTTGCTACCTTTCTGGCTTGATCATATTTCCTCTTCTACTTAAAATGTAGATGCTCACATATTTATGGGTGATTTAATGAATTACCCATGCTGATTTTTGCATCTTTGCATATTTTATTCTCTCAAATAGGCTTTTTGAGGCTTTGTGTTCTTTTTTATTAATAGCAGGCCTAGGGGAATAAGTAAATAAATCTAATTTGCCTTTAATACTAAGTTCTGACCTCTCTGTTTATACGGATGCCCAAGGTCTTCCTCTCCTTCTCCCTGCATAACAGTCTCTCTCTTTCTCTGTCTCTCACACACTCACCTATAACTTTTCCTCCACCAGGGCCTCTGCTTCTACTACTGGGGCCTGTTTGATGGGCATGCAGGGGGTGGAGCTGCCGAAATGGCCTCCAGGCTCCTGCATCGCCATATCCGGGAGCAGCTAAAGGATCTGGTAGAGATACTTCAGGACCCCTCATCACCCCCTCTCTGTCTCCCGTCCACCCCGGGAACCCCAGGTTCCTCTGATCCTTCTCACTTGGTTGGTCCTCAGTCCTGCTGGTCTTCACAGAAGGAAGTGACGCATGAGAGCCTGGTAGTGGGGGCCATTGAGAATGCCTTTCAGCTCATGGTGAGTGGGCTGCTTGCTAGGCAAGCACTCCAAGTCAGCTCTCTAGGAGTCAGGTGGCCCAAGGGGATGATGCTGAGAGCCTGCAGAGCTTGGTTCAGAGGGGAGGGAGAAGGGGCAGTGACCCCCAGCCTTCCCTCCTCTCCTTCAGTGTAGCCCGGCTAGACCAGTTAATTTCTGCATATGGAGGGTAGAGAATGGTATGTGCCTGCAACCTCTTCTTCCACCTTCCCCCTTCCCCCCCAACCCAGGATGAGCAGATGGCCCGGGAGCGGCGTGGCCACCAAGTAGAGGGGGGCTGCTGTGCACTGGTTGTGGTCTACCTGCTAGGCAAGGTGTATGTGGCCAATGCAGGTGACAGCAGGTAAGGGGGAGGAACTGTGAAGATGGCGACAGGGGACCTCACTCTCTGGGATGGGGAATGGAAGAGAGTGAGACAGTGGGAGTTAAAGTCAAAGACTGGAGGGAGATTGGGTTAGAGGCATAGGAAAAGGCCTGAAATATATATGTGGGCAGGAAAATGGGGGTCTGGGTAAGCAACCCTAACCATCATTATGGGAAGGGCCTGCTGGTCTTTCTGGAATTCTCCATCAGAGGGCCAAGGAGAGCCAGGCCCAAACCTTTTCTTTCTCTGGACAGGGCCATCATTGTCCGGAATGGTGAAATCATTCCAATGTCCCGGGAGTTTACCCCGGAGACTGAGCGCCAGCGTCTTCAGCTGCTTGTAAGTAGGAACTAAACCCCCTCCCTGCATCCTTCGTCAGGTCTTGTGCCTCTCTGTACCCTGTGTCCTGAGAACGCTCAACCCCCACCATACACACAGAAAGCTCTTTCCTGGGAGCATGCTGGTAAGGCTGCTGTGTGGACTGTGGAGTGTGGGGCTGGGCTGGTGGGATGATGCAGCAGGAAGGAGCCTGGGCTGGTCCAGTGCTCCCATTGTGGCCCCAGCTGAGGAAGGAAGTGGAGCCAGAGATGGGGGAAGGGAACAGCAAAGGTCCCAAAAGGCAGGGTGGGTCAGTTCTTTTTTTTTTTTTTTTAATTATTTGTTTATTTTAAATTTATTTTAAATTTATTTTTATTATTAGTTTTTTATTTGACCAGAGACAGAGAGAAAGAGAAAAAGTGAGAAAGTAAGCCACCAGATCCAGGACTCACTCAAACCTTATTTAGCTAGTGGGAGTCTAGCACCTTTACTGCCATGCCACCTGTTGGCCCGTAATCAGTTCTTTTTTGGGAGAGATTTGTGCTAGAGGGTGTGTGTGCTCACTGGATAGACAGAGAGCCAGAAAGCAAGAAATCACCCCTGAGGGGATGGCACGCCACAGTTCCTTCTCCTTCATTCTCCTCTCAGGACTTTGCGCATGCAGGCACATGCGCCTGGCTTGAGTTTTAAGCCACTGGGTCTGGGACTCAAACTGCGGTCGACTACATGGGAGTCCAGCAACGTAACCATTATGCCATCTGCTGGTCCCCAAGTCAGTTCTTAAACACATGGGCTCTGGAGCTGTTTTTTTTTTTTTTTAATTTAATTAATTAATTTATTTATTTTAACATTTTTGACATAGCGCATGTATACTCACAGGAGAGAAACACAGACAAGAAGAGGGAAAGCAAAACAATCACCCCCGGGGGGAATGGCCACACCACAATCCCTTCTTCTCTATTTTTCTCCTGGGATTTTGGACATAGAAACACAATTTCAGTACTTTGCTCACTGTGTGACCTTTAATAATTTCCTTAACCTCCCTGTGCATCAGTAATTCCTACCTTCAGGGTGTTGTAAGGAGTAAATGAATTCATGTTAATGTTAAAATAGTGTGTGGCACATGGTCAAGTCTATTTAAGGGTCTGCTCTAGTTAATGTCTGTATACCAGGAAGTCTGCGAGTAAAGCTCTGGGCCCTCTGCTCTTTCTGGCCCTTCCCAACCTCAGGGCTTCCTGAAACCAGAGCTGCTGGGTGGTGAATTCACCCACCTTGAGTTCCCCCGCAGAGTTCAGCCCAAGGAGCTGGGGCAGAGGATGCTGTACCGGGACCATAACATGACTGGCTGGTAACACTTCCCTTCGAGCTGGGGCCCATTCCCATGGCAATGTAACAGTCCCTCATCAGCAGCAAAGTGGAAGCTGGAGGCAGGGCCAGGCTGGGAGTTGGGGGGAATGCAGCTCTTCCAAGGGGTTTGTGTGAGGGTGTGGGGCTCCTAGGGAAGAGGAGCTTTGATGTCTGGGTGATGCCGCCTCTACTCCCCCCTCTCCAGGGCCTACAAAAAGATCGAGCTGGAGGATCTCAGATTTCCTCTGGTCTGTGGGGAGGGCAAAAAGGTAAACTCATGGTAGCAGTGGGAGAGGGCAGGGTGGCCTATGGCAACTGGTCTAGGGAGGTGGATGTTCTATCTGAGGGTAGTGGGGGCGGGGGGTGCCTGTGACTTCAGACAGTCTAGAAACATCATAGCAGCATCCTGTCCTCATTTCCTTCAGGCCCGGGTGATGGCTACCATTGGGGTGACCCGGGGCTTGGGAGACCACAACCTTAAGGTGTGCAGTTCCACCCTGCCCATCAAGCCTTTCCTCTCCTGCTTCCCTGAGGTGAGCCATATGGGGCTCCCTTCCCTCTTTGGGGGTCTCAGGCTGGATTTCATCCAGAGACCCTTTATCTCCAAGCTCCATGTATATCAAACCACACCTCGGTCCTCTCTTCCTTCTTTCCAGAGAGAGAGAGCGAGTTTATGACTTGACTCAGTATGAGCACTGCCCAGATGATGTGCTAGTCTTGGGAACAGATGGCCTGTGGGATGTCACCAATGACTGTGAGGTAGCTGCCACTGTGGACAAAGTGCTGTCGGCCTATGAGCCCAATGACCCTAGCAGGTAGGGGTTGTATGGCATGGCGACGAGGGGATGGCTCTGGTGAAAGAAAGGGGCAAAGGGAAGCAGTGCTTGGGGAGCCGCCGTGGGCCCGTGTATCTGTCTTCCTGAATACATGTTAGACATGAATGTGCACATGTGCTCCTGGCAGGTATACAGCTCTGGCCCAAGCGCTGGTCCTGGGGGCCCGGGGCATTCCCCGGGACCGTGGCTGGCGTCTCCCCAACAACAAGCTGGGTTCCGGGGATGACATCTCGGTCTTCGTCATCCCCCTGGGAGGGCCAGGCAGTTACTCCTGAGTGGCTCAGCCTTATCCCTCCATCCCTACCCCAGCCTCTCCACATTCACCCCACTCTCAGCCCAAATTCTGAAGCTGTCAACCTGACCCTTCTTCAGTGGCAATTTAACTGAAAAGGAGATGTCGCTAGATCCAGAATTACAGCTGTTGGCAAATAAACCAGATGGATAAAGGTGTGTCTCTTTATTTGCTTTGACTAGAAACGGAGAAGTAAGGACAAGCTCTGTGGGATGGTGGAAAGAACACCAGAGCAGTCCTGAAAAAGTAGCATCCCCCAGGTTCCTGCTAACGCCCTCCTCGCTTCCCACTCCACACACTTGCCACGAGTGTTCTCATCTGCTTCTGTGGCTTCACCCACCTGCTGTCTTTCGAGTCATTCCCCATCAGCCCTGACTTTTCCTGCGCGTTAGACCTACACATCCCATTCACCCCCCAAACTTCTCCTGGACAGTCCACTGGCATTTCAGTTCAGCAAACCTCACGTTGAATTCTCCATTTTCCCCTAAACATGTTCATCCTCTCAATGGGCACTTGCTTATCTGCTCAAGTTAGAAATCTTGGGGGACCAGCAGTTGGTGTAATCGCTATGTTGCTGGACTCCCATGTAGTTGACCACAGTTCAAGTCCCGGACCTGGTGGCTTAAACTCACTCCAGGCATGTGTGCGTGCGTGCCCAAGATCCTGAGAAGAGAGGAGAGTGAAGAAGGGATTGTGGCGTGGCCATCCCCCCTGGGGGGTGATTTCTCTTTTTCTTTCTCTCTGTATCTCTCTATCTTTCTGGTGTGCACACGTGCCCTATAGCAAAAACCTCTCATGAAAAAAAATGAAATCTTGGAATTGGTTACCCTTTGCTTGTTTCTTCTTCATTAAGAATTCTTCACTAAGGGGGCCAGCAGGTGGCATGGTGGTTAAGGGTACTGGACTCCCACTTGGCCAACCGTGGTTTGAGTCCTGGATCTGGTGGCTTGCTCTCTCGCTCTCACTCTCTTGCTCTCCCACTCTCTCACTCTGTCCCTCTCTGGTCAAATTAAAAAAAAAAAAAGTACATTATAAAGTTAAATAAAATAATTATTTAAAGAAAAAGAATTCTCCACTAAGTATTCTTATTTATTTATTGCTGGAGGGCATATGCACTCACCAGAGAAAGAAAGGAGAAAGCACCCCATTGGGGAATGGTCATACAGTAATGCCTTCTCCTCTATTTCTCCCTTCTTCTGGTATTTTGGGCACACATGCACCTGGTGTGTTTCTCAAGCTACTGGTCTGGGACTCAACCATGCAATTGGCCATCTGGTTGTCTTAGCCACCAGGCTACAAGCTGGCCTGTTGACTACATGTTTTTAAAAGTATTTCCTAAATGTCACTCACATGTACCCTCACTGTCACCACCTTAGTTTTTACCTTTTCAGCCTCCTAACTTGCTAATTTCACTGGCTCCTTATTGTGCCTAGAACGAAGTTCACATTCAGCTCCTGGACATGGCATGCAAAGCCCTTCATCTCACATCTTTCTTTGTGTTCATCTTTCACCACCACCACTACTCTCCTGAGCTTCCTATATCTCTGTGGGCCTGCAGTATCTCTAACTTGCTATTTAAAATGTACACATCACCTTGCACGCCCTAAACACTGATTACCTCCTGCATTATACATCTATATTCGGAGTCAGTGGGGACTAGCAGGTAAGAGTAGGGACTCTCAAGTTCAGCTCTGGGTTCTGGTGCTAGAGCCAACATGGTTCTGTAACTTCACTGAGCCCCAGTTTTCTTGTTAGTACTACTTCATAAGGTGGTTATAAGGATTAAAGCAGTCAATGCAGTCAGGCCCATGCAATAAAGGTTCAATCAATGTTAGCCATCTTTTTTGGTTTTAAATATTTATTTTAAAAGTTCGTTATAGAGTGCATGAGCTTGCCAGAAAGAGAGAGAGGGAAAGTGAAAAATGACCCCTCCAGGGGGAATGGCCATGCGGATGATCACACTGCAGTCCCTTCTTCTCCATTCTCTTCTTGGAATTTTGGTCACACACACACACACACGCCTAGGGTGTTTTCCAAGCCACTAGGTCTTCACAGGACCCAAACGGTGCAGTTGGCTATTTACGATCCAGTCGCCTTAACCACCAGGTCACCTGGCTGGCCCAATGTTAGCACCTTGAATTTTTTTTTTTTTTTTTTTTGGAGAGGTTTTTCGCTATAGGGCGCGTGCACTCGCCAGACAGACAGAGACATAGAGACAGAAAGTGAGAAATCACCCCCCAGGGGGGATGGTCACGCCGCAATCCCTTCTCCTCCATTCTCCTCTTGGGATCTTGGGCACGCACGCACACGCGCCCGGCGTGAGATTTAAGCCACCGGGTCCGAGACGCGAACCGCGGTCGACTACGTGGGAGTCCAGCGACATAGCCATTACGCTAACTGCTGGTTCCCAGCACCTTGAAATTTTTTGTATTCCTCATTTAGACTACAAATTGTTTGAAGGCAGATTTTTATTTCAACACATAGTTCTCAGTTTATGCTCAATGAATATTTATTGAGCAAGTTAAGAGGCCTGGGGAGGGACTGACAGGTGGCATGGTGGTTAAGGCACTGAACTTTCACATGGTTGACCATGGTTCGAGACCCAGACTTGGGGGCTTGCTTTCTTACTTTCCCTTTCTCTCTCTCTCCGTTCAAATGAATAATAATACTAAAATTAAATAATTCTTAAAAAAAAAAAAGCCTGTGACCTCAGTTTCCTCATTATCAAATGCATGGATTTTACTTTGGATCTTTAAAGTTTATATGACTTCTAACATTCTTCTAACTTCGAAAACCTTTGTTGAAAGCCTGCTATGTACCACACACTGTGCTAGACAATAGGGAAAAGACAGGCTGGGGAGTGTGACAGGCAGCGGGGAGACAGCACTGCTCTGTCATAATTGTAAACATTTGCACAAGCCATTTCTCTGAGCCTCAGTTCTCTCATAGACAAAAGGCGAAGGCTCTGCTCTGCTTACCTGCCAAGATCTGTGAGTGTTAAAAGGGTTAGATGGTATACCCAGCACAAGCAATAAAATGTTGGTAGCCCTCCTTATCCCACCTTCTCCTTCTCAGAGCCACCTTATAGAGGAGATACATTTGCAGGTAAATGCCCTCTGTGCTAAGTTAGACCGGAGGAAGTCCCCAAATGGCACAGAAATAATACCGTAGGAATGGAAACTGAATTCCAGCTGGGGATCTAGAAGCATGTCCAGTGCCTTTTGAGCAGGCAGGAATTGGATCTAGGGAAATTCCATGCAGGGGAAGGAAGGGAATTGTGACTAGGAAAAGGGGTGTAGGTCTGAAAGGTTCTGGAACGCCTTTAAGGCTGAGGTTTGAATGGGACTGTATTTGTTCCTCAGAGATTCTAGGAGCAGAGAGTGGGCACCTTCTGTACCTGCGCCCCCTCAAGCGCCCTGGCGCCGCCCAGTCCCTGTCTGCCTCCTGCTGGGTCCCAGGTGGGGCTGGAGCGGGTAGACGGTCGGCCACGCGAGGGCAGCAGTGGCCCTTCCTGACCCCACCCCGAGCGCCTCTCAACTTTCCCGACGCCGGTGCGCCCCTAGGGGCTGGCAGGCGGGGCAGAGTCTGAGTCTTCGGGGGTCCAGCCTCACCGCCCACTGCTCCGCTGTCCAGGCGTCTCCCGGTGATCCGCCCCATATCCCGGAGGCCGACGCCTGGGACCCGCGACCCGCCGCAGCCTTGGGCTGGAGTCGGGGGCGGGCCAAACCAAGGGCAGCCCCGACCCTCCCCCTGCCGGGCCCGCCCCTCCCCGCCGCGGCGCTGAAGGAGGGCGGGGCGGGCCCTCGGGTCAGTCTCGGCCCCGGGCACCGGCCGCACAGCTGGAGGCGGCGGAGAGGAAGGTACCTGGGCCGGGGCTGGGGGCGGCGGGGCGTCCTGGGAACTCGTCCCCCGGGGAGCACTTTTCTCCGCCGCTCGCCTGGAGCTTGGGGCCGGCCGGGGAGGGGGTTCTAGCCCGAGCGTGGGCCGCGTTGCCTCCCCTTGGACGCGGCGTCCGGGCTGTCCCAGGGTCTGGCGGGCTGGGCCCCTCCCCGGCTGCAGCGAGGGATCCCTGGAACTGCCGGGCAGAGGCTCTCACCTCCTGGGGTCCGAGAATGAGCCCTTTCCTTTCCTCTCCCGGCTTCCCGGAACTTGTCCCGCCGGACTGAGGGCGACCTGGATCCCCGCGAGGGTGCCCCAGCCCC